CATGTATACTTCACCCAGTTACCTCCAATGGTCACTGCTTACATAATTATAACAGCATGTGTCAAATTTCAAGAACTAAACTTGAAATCCACAGGACTTCAGTGGTGTGTGTATGTTTAGTTCAGTGCATGTGTGTCGTGTATCTACATCTGTGTTACCATCACCACAATCCATGCACTGAGTTCCATCTCTGAAAGGTCATAGCCATTCTCACCCATTCATCGCCTACAATTCTTGGCAATCACTAGACTATTCTCCATCTTTATAATTTTATTTAAAGGATATTTTACATGTGAAAACATAAGCCATTTTTGGTTATTGACTTTTTATGGACAGCATAATTCCCTGGGTATCATCCAAGTTGCTGACTACATGAATACTTTGTTCCTTCATAGAGCTGAGTGGTAGCCTATGATATGGATCCATCACAGCTTGGCTTGCTTAACCATGCACCTGTTGAAATGCATCTTGACTGTTTCAAATACATACGTTTTTATTTGAAAAAAGAAAAGTATCAGGGCCTCTTACTTGTGAATGAAATTTTCCATAATCTCAATTACAAGACATGCTATTACTAATTTTCTTGGAGTAATTATATTTATATTTATTTCCTTTGTCTCTTAATCATCTAGGATTCATACCTTTCAAAACAGAATTGTCTTCTTTCTGGACTAATGAACTTTAACATTTTAGTCTTTTCTCGCAAGAGTATCACTCTGTTCTGAAGACCTAAATAACACCTTTGTTGGATAATCAAGAGTTTACATCTCAGTCAATTTCTGAAATGCAGACAAACACAATACAGGTAAAATAAGTTGCTAGAAGTGTGTAAGTTCATGTTGTACTTATTTCTGAGGCCTACCTAATAAGATCTAAGAGTCACTGAACATTGACGAATTTAGACCTAATTCCGGAATATAGTTGTAAGGAAAAAGGATTTTTAAAAAATTCTAAATCTATATATCTTTAGGACATTTGAGGCACTTTATGTTATTTTGAGCTTATCCTTTTTAAGATGAGCACTAGGGGTCAATTTGTTCCTTAAAAGTAAATACCCTTGGTCCTGGTGCAGTGGCCTAGTGGCTAAAGTCCTTGCCTTGAATGTGCCAGGATCCCGTATGGGAACCAGTTCTAATCCCGTCAGCCCTGCTCCTCATCCAGCCCCTTGCTTGTGGCCTGGGAAAGCAGTCAAGGACAGCCCAAAGCCTTGGGATTCTGCACCAGTGTGGGAGACCCAGAAGAAACTCCTTGATCCTGGCTTTGGATCAGCACAGCTCTGGCTGTTGCAGTCACTTGGGGAGCAAATCATCAGGTGGAAGATCTTCCTCTCTGTCTCTCCTCTCTGCACATCTGACTTTGCAATAAAAATAAACAAATCTTTCTAAAAATTAAATACCCTTAAAATGTGATTTTATAATTATGCTTAGTCAAGCAGAATTGTAATGAAGAAGAATGAAGGAAAATTATGAGTAGTCAGGTAAAAAGTAGTTGAAACAATAATCACCAATTTATACATTGATAAAACTGTCAACCATATTACAGGCCCCTAACTCAATGACTTGGATACAAGGTTTGACACTGAATAGTGTCCACAAACAGACCCAAAAACCCAGAGGAGCTAATTATGACATAAAAGTTCTTGTTTAAAGTCAGAATGGAAAAGAAGAGCTATTTTTTTTTTAAATGATATAGGACTGTTAGCTTTCTCCAGGAATATGTAAGACAAGGGTATCAGTCACCAGGACATCATCCTTCCCCCCAGAGCATTTAAGCAATTTAAAAAATTAATCCTCTTGAGATAGTTTTTAAAGGACATATTTATTTGAAGGGAAGAGTGAAAGAGGAAAAAGAGAGAAGACAGAGGAGAGGGGAGAGAAGAGAGAGAGCGAGGGAGAGAATGAAAGAGAGAGGAGACATGTTCTATCTACTGGTTTACTTCCTAAACAGCTGCAACAATCAAGACTGGGCCAAGTTGAAGTAAGGAGCCAGGAATTCCATTCGTATCCCCACTGTGGGTGGAAGAAACTCTACGCTTGAGTCATCTTCCACTATTTCCCAGAAACACGAGTAGAAAGCTGGATCAGAAGTGTGGAGCAGCTGGAACTCAAACTGACACTGTGGTGTCGGAGGCTGGCACCCAAACAGCAGCAATGTATCCGCTGTGCCACAATGCCTGCCCCGACCCGGACTCTTGCAGTGGTTCTCATGTGCTGCAGCTAGGATCCTCAGGTCTCCCCTGACAGCAACTTGAAAACTGCTTTTGATCCTTCTCCTTCTAACTGAGGAAAACCCTTAGGATTCTAATCAAATGCTGTATCCAGGGTCATCAGAGTCAGCAAACAATGCTCCAAGCAGGAGAATGGAGCCTGGACTGTTCATCTGATTGTACAAACCTGGAAATTAGGGCCAGAGCAGGGGCAGAAATCAGCTAAGAACAGAGCCATACTTAAGGGCAGGGAAGGTCAGGTCTCTAGGTGGGTAAAGGGCCTGTGGGCAGAAAAGCACTCTCTGGACCATTTCTAGCAGTTCCCTTCATCCCGACTCTTGAATCTTTCTCAACAACACCAGCTCATATGTGAACCCTCCACGATCATGAAGGAGACGTACCATTCCCTAAGTGGTCCTCACTGGGGTGTTACCCTTTGTTCACATCAGGAGCCGTCTACTCATCCAGCCTGATATAGCCCTCTGAGGCAGGTCCAGTCTCATAGATCCCTTTCCTGCTGCCCTACCCCTCTTTGCTTCAGTTGTCTCCCCTTGATGCTAAATTTCCAAAGTCACCTTCACCTGCTCTTATTGATCCAGATGCTACTGTTGTTGCAACTGCCCTTTTCATAAACCCTAATTTCTCTCCATATTCCAGAATCAAATACATCTACCAGATGTGTTCTGAATGTTCAGAAGATTGAACTGCCATTCTTTACAAGGAACACATTCCATTACTGTTTCAGTGCCTGCACACAGGGGCTCACTCAAGGTGTAATGGCAGTATATGGTTTGCAGGAAGTGTGGACTAAAGCTGAAGCTCATAGTTTGAAGCTCCTAAGTCTTTTCCATTATAAACTGCTTCAATCTCTTCTTGCAGATGCACAGTGTTTTTTTTTTTTTTCCCGACCAGCAAGTCTCAGCTCAATTTTCCATGACCGTTCCCTGCCTGGAGTGACATGCTCATTTTGGTAAAAAGACTGTATGAGGTGTAAAGTGTTGAAGTAGACACAAAACTTAGAGAGTATTGGTAGTTTCAATAGACTTTTCCAAAGAAAATCAGATATGTCACCGCAGCCCACTCCAATGAATCATAGTGCATGAATAACCATTACTTTAGATTCAAAATGCCTCTGATATTTCATGTTGTTGGATTAGACCTCTTGAGCAAACAAATCCAAGTCCTTTGGAGCCATGATTCTTCCAGGAAGCACACTCGTGCTTATGTGAAGGCTGCTAACCCAGGTCCTTAGCGCTCCCTGGAGAGACCCAGGATCAACCTAGAGTGGGAATTGACATGTATTTAAAAGAAATGGCAATAGGAAGGCTTCTCCCATTTTTTCCCCTACATTTTCTCAAGCCTTAGAGGTCAGAGGTGGCAGCATTCCTCACTTTTTGAAACAATAGTTGGGTAGTTATCTAGATATTTGTGAAACTTTTGAGGTTTTACTCCATCTGTAGATGAGTGATCTGTACTTGAAGAATACAGGATAGTGTCTTGTTTAATGTCTGTCATGTATCTATCTTTCTATTTCTCATTTAAGAAAATGAACTCTAGTAAACAAATCCTGATCGACAGCTTGGGTACTAAAGCAGGGGAGTAAGACATACCTTCAGAGCCCACAGAAGCCAGGTGGTTATGTGTGAACTATGGTAGGAGGCAAAAGATGGACACCTAAATGCACTGGAAAGTCTGGGAAACAATGGCAACAGGGACGATGGTGCAGCTGACTGATGCTGCTGGGGGAACCTACACCTGGTATTGGAGTGTCTGTTCTGGTCCTGGCTATGCCACTTCTGATCAAGCTGCCTGCCAATGTTCCTACAACGCAGCAGATGAAAAATCAAGTACTTGAGTTCCTGTCACTCATGTTGGATAAGATCCTGGCTTCTGGCTTCAGCCTGGCCTAATTGTGGCCCTTTGGGGAATGAAGGAGTGGGTGGAAGATTCATTCTCTCCCTTTCTCACTCTCTTTAAAATAAGTAAACAAATGTTTGTTTAAAATTGGGAAACACAATATGAGTGTATATGTGTGCTTTGTTAAAGCTAGAAAGATGAAAACCCAAAGAAGGCAAATATACAAGTGCACAGAGTTGAGGGACTTGAAACTTGCAGCATAGCTGATCTCTGCAGCCAATTCACAAAAAAGGGCTTAAAACTGCACATTGGAGGTTACTTCTGGTCACAAAACACCAACATTTTATGACCTAATTTTCCACCTTAAAATACTTCTGTGTTCCCCATGAAAAAGAAAATGAAGCTTGATTCATGGAGGGAAGGGGATATGTATCAATAGTCTTGCCATTCTTGTACCAGTGGTGTCCTGTTTCATTCAAACCTTATGTCAACCTGACCCATAATGAATGAGTCAGCAGATTTATCAGCCTGGATTACCAAGAAGAATCACCACTTGAGGGTAGATAATGTGTGCTAACTATATGACACTGAGGCAGCTGGAACCGAAAGGCTGGAAGTCATGTGACAATTCTCCTCTTAAAAGCTCAAAGAGAACAACCCATAGGTGATTCAAGAAGAGCAGATGGCTTAAATTCAAGCACAGAAGGAAAAGGAAGTAATGTTGTTCCCTTTTGGTTTAAGAAATTTAGCCAGGAAACACACTTGTCTAATTTGATAATCACCTACTTATCAGGACAAACAATAACAAGAAAAGAACAACATACCTGATGACAGCATCACTCAACAGGGTATAAAAGAGGTCCCGAGTCAAGGAGACATCCACACCTTTCAAACCCACCTTCTGGAAACCCACACACCACCTCCATCCTCTGACACCATGGTCAACTCCTGTTGTGGTTCTGTGTGCTCTGAGCAGGAGACCTGCTGCCGCCCCAGCTGCTGCCAGGCCTCCTGCTGCAGACCCAGCTGCTGCATCTCCAGCTGCTGCAGGCCCCAGTGCTGCCAGCCAACCTGCTGCCAGCCCACCTGCTGCCGCCCTACCTGCTGCATCTCCAGCTGCTGCAGACCCACCTGCTGCAGACCCCAATGCTGCCAGTCTGTGTGCTGCCAGCCCACCTGCTGCCGCCCCAGCTGCTGCATCTCGAGCTGCTGCAAGCCCCAGTGCTGCCAGCCTTCATGTTGTAGACCCACCTGCTGTCGTCCCAGCTGCTGCATCTCCAGCTGCTGCCCTAGCCCCTGCTGCAGACCGCAATGTTGCCAGTCTGTGTGCTGCCAGCCCACTTGTTGCCGCCCCAGCTGCTGCATCTCGAGCTGCTGCCGCCCTAGTTGCTGCAGGCCCCAATGTTGTCAGTCTGTGTGCTGCCAGCCCACTTGCTGCAGAACTCAATGCTGCCGCCCCAGCTGCTGCATCTCTAGCTGTTGCCAGCCCAGTTGTTGCAGACCCAGCTGCTGCATCTCCAGCTGCTGCCAGCCTACTTGCTGCAGACCCACCTGCTGCATCTCTAGCTGCTGCCAGCCCACTTGTTGCAGACCCAGCTGCTGCATCTCTAGCTGCTGCCGCCCTTCTTGCTGCAGACCACAGTGCTGCCAGCCCACCTGCTGCATTTCCAGTTGCTGCAGGCCCCAGTGCTGCCAATCTGTGTGCTGCCAGCCTACCTGCTGCACCTCCAGATGCTGCCGCCCCAGCTGCTCTAGTGGTTCTTGCTGCTGAATTCTTGGACCTCCACATACCTGTTCTTTGAGAAACTAATGTTCTGGGGGTACTCCATGTATGAGCTGGATTATGTGTTCAAAGGATTTTTAGCTTAATTTGACCTGCAAATACTCTGCTCTCACCCTCACCATGTTATTGCTTTTCTCTGAAACATGTGCACCATCAAGTCATTGCAACTGAAATATTTGTTTTCTGTCATGTTTTCTCTTATGGAGCTATTCCCACATCTTAAATAAATCTACATTTTCCAGGCATATATGTATAAGCACATCATGTTATTTTTGCTCATGGAGCTTTCAGTCTTGGCATTTTTTCTGTTGTTCGTCTCTAAAGGAAGAGGGGACAGTAACAGATGGCCACAGGGGTGACACCTCTATGCTCTCGGTCTTTCTCACTCTAGCATAGGAACATGGCTCCTTCGACAGGTACCTGGACTCCCCAGCTGGGGATTGTGGATGGAGGGGCATGTCTGGACAGGAGCTGAATCCTCTAAAAGCAGACCTCAACCAAAACATGGGAAGTGGTGAATAGACAGCTTCATGGATGCCCTCCTGAGTGGGAGATAGGCTGGGCATTTGTGCCAGTCTCCCAGAGTACTCAGAGGGACTGAAGCCCAGGGTCCCATGGGAGACTTCTGCTCATTTCATCTCCTTGTATTAGATTCCTTCCTACTATGGTTTGGGTAACCATTTGGGCAGCCTCTCAAAACTTGCTTTGTGCACTTTGTCCATGTAATCATATGCTAAGCATATGACTTATATTAACAATTGCGGGTTATAAGAATGGAGGTTTGATCCTACTTCAGTGTCTTAGAGGGAGGTATTTAGGTCATCAAGAGCTTGCCAGCTGTATGTTCTACCACAAGCTATGACTTTAGAGAAGGCTCCAGTGATTTTCCTTACCTGTGCCTTCCTCATGGCTTCATGGATCACAGTCAGTCTAATGGGATTTTTGCCTTTAGGATTATGATGAATCCTAGCACATTTCCAGCACATTCACTTCTCTGTTTCTTGTAATCTTGTCTTTCTCATTTCAAAACTTAGAAGCTTGAAACAACACAAGACGTACTGAATGTTTTACAAATCCAGGCATAGCCCACGGGACTTCTCTCCTGCTTAGTTTTTTCACAAGGCTACAAACAAGGAGTTATCTCTCAGTGGGGTGTCATCTGAGGACTTAACCAGCAAGAATGTGCTCCTAGGGTCAGTTCCATGGTTTTGGACATAGTTTGGTGCTTGGAGACTCATTAGAGAGAAAGACTCAAATCCTGGGTGGCAATTGGGGATAACGAATGTCATTTTTTTTTTTTTTTTGGTCATAAGACCTTTTCCAAGAATAGGTGCATTCATCAGGATGAGAGAGAGAGAGAGAGAGAAATTGCACATGAGACTGTCTTACAAGATGTAAGTCTTACTGCTTTGTCACTCCATCAATGGACGTGACCTCATGCTATTGTCCAAAAGTAGTTATACTCATGGTGGGAGGATGGCAATGATGACAAATACCAGGAGATAACAATAATCTGGAGCCTCTTGAAGTTGCCTACTTCAGTTCTTAGATGATAATGATCATATACAGGATACTATTGATATAAATTCAAAAACATGTAAAACTGTATATTTTTCAAAGATAGAAATTAGTCTGAGAAGTTGTTGCTTTTCATAAGCACACCACACACACACACATACACTGTGGTCTAATGCGGACTTTTCCAGCTTCTGTCCTTTCCTAAGAAACGAGCAGTGCAGGAAAAAGAGAAAGGGCAGGGCACATACATGAAACAGCACTCAGCTTTATCAACTATAAAGTGAAATAATAATACTAATTTAAATACCTGGATGGTGGTTCCCTCTGGGGTGGAGGAGGAAATGTGATGAAGAAAGACTGAGCAGCTGTACGGGGTGATGACAATGCTGTTCTCTCCATGGTCTTGAGCACGTAGACGCTTGCTTAGCTTTATGCATTATAGCACTCGCATGTATTTTTCACATATTTTACAGTATACATGTGTTTGCTCCAATAAGAAAGTGTTTTAAACAAACAGAGTGAAATCTTAGAGATTTAAGATTGCTAATCAAACAACTGTAACACATAAATCAGTATTTTCTCCAAGAACAGTCGTTTGGGTATTTCTGCATCCTTTAAACTTGTAGTTTATCCTCATTGTGAATGAATATAAGCTGATATTCTCTGGTCTGGGTATATGATTTCTATCTCTACATTGATTCTTCCTCTCCCATCTTTGTGTGGGTGTTAAAATCCACAATTTCTTGTAGACAAAGTATCAACAACTTGAAAAATGCAGCAAATATTCAGAGTTCTGCTACTCAACAGAACTTATGTTATGAGGCTGGTGTAGTGGCTCAAGTCCTCAGTTCCCTGCACATGTACAGAGGACTTGGAGAAAGCTCCTGGATCCTGGTTTCAGATCGGCTCAGCTCTGCTCTGACCTTTGTAGCAATTTGAGGAGTGAACCAGCCAATGGAAGACCTCTCTTATTATCTTCATTCTCTTTCTGTAAAGTCTGTCTTTCAAACAAAAATAAATACATCTTTTAAAATGAGATATTATGTTGCATAATGGGTGAAAGTAAGAGGCAAGGATAAGGCAGGTTGGTCAATTTCTCTTGGAAACAGAGGAAGACTGTAGTCAGTATACCCAGTGGAAGCCAGAAAGACAGGAAGTCAAAGACATTAGGACACTTGGCCCACAGAGTGGAGGTGAGGAAATTAAACTTGGAATTACAGTGAATCTCTGTAGTCTACTTCCACCAACAGAGTTTGCAGTAGAGGCTGGAGGATGCATTCTAGAGGAAAAAGGAATTAAGACCCATGACTTCACGCTATGAAAACAAACCAGCATTTCTCATCACAATCTAAAGAATGGGTATTATTCATAGTGGGAAGCGTGAATGTATTAACAGCCTTTTGCCTCTAAGTAGTGGCCTTCTGTTTCCTGTCAAGCTTTCCTGCTCACCTGACCCGTAGGAAAGACACAACATTCATTATGAATGATGCATATTAAGCACAGCTTTATCTTCCCTGGTCATGAAAAAGAATTATGAGTTTATAAGAATTATCACATGGCTTATTACGCAAAATGATACAGAGGCGCAGAAAGGAGGAAGAGAGTCACATTCATTTCCCAATGTAGAAGCCCACCAGGAGGGCATAACTGAGATGACTCAACAAGAGGGGAAAGATGAGTCCTAACAACTGGAGTAGGAGCAGGAAACGATGTTTCCATCAAGATAAAAAAGGTTTTTGTTTTTTTTCTTTGACAGGAAAGCACACTTGACTAATTTGATAATCACCTACTTATCAGGACAAACAATAACAAGGAAAGAGTATCACACCTGATGAGAGCATCTGTCAGCAGGGTATAAAAGAGGTCCCGAGTCAAGGAGACATCCACACCTTTCAAACCCACCTTCTGGAAACCCACACACCACCTCCATCCTCTGACACCATGGTCAACTCCTGTTGTGGTTCTGTGTGCTCTGAGCAGGAGACCTGCTGCAGACCCACCTGCTGCCAGGCCTCCTGCTGCCGCCCCAGCTGCTGCATCTCCAGCTGCTGCAGGCCCCAGTGCTGCCAGCCTTCATGTTGTAGACCCACCTGCTGTCATCCCAGCTGCTGCATCTCCAGCTGCTGCCCTAGCCCCTGCTGCAGACCGCAATGTTGCCAGTCTGTGTGCTGCCAGCCCACTTGTTGCCGCCCCAGCTGCTGCATCTCCAGTTGCTGCCAGCCCACTTGTTGCCGCCCTAGTTGCTGCAGGCCCCAATGCTGCCAGCCCACTTGCTGCAGAACTCAATGCTGCCGCCCCAGCTGCTGCATCTCTAGCTGCTGCCGCCCTACCTGTTGTGTGTCCAGTTGTTGTCAGCCCCAGTGCTGCCAGCCCAGTTGCTGCAGACCCACCTGCTGCATCTCCAGCTGCTGCAAGCCCACTTGTTGCCAGTCCACTTGTTGCAGACCCACCTGCTGCCAGCCCACTTGCTGCAGACCCACCTGCTGCCCTAGCTCTACTTGCTGCCAGCCCACTTGCTGTCTCCAGACCACCTGCTGCAGAACCCAGTGCTGCCGCCCCAGCTGCACTGTGTCCACCTGCTGCTGCCCTAGCTGCTCCAGTGCTTCTTGTTGCTAAGCATTATGGCCTAGACTCAGCTGTTTTTCAACAGCCTATACTCCTGAGGTAGTCTGCCCATGAGCTCTTTCAGGAGAGGCTGATTCTCAAAGCCCATTTCAACCGCATTTGTGATTGCCTTTTGCCCACAAACAGATCACCTCCAATCCATACCATGGGACTCTCTCTTTCCCAAGGAACCCACATTTGAACCCTCTCATATCTTTGGACCAGCATGTCACTGCAATGGAAATATTTGCTCTGTGTCATCTTTTCTCATATGGAGATATTCCTACATCTTGAATAAATTTGAATTGTCAACTCATACAAATGTAAGGGCTCTGTGTTTGATTGTTTCATCTTGAATTTTCAAAGCTTGGTAGGAAATACTGTTTGTTCTCTTGATGGAAGACCATGGTAAAGGATATTAGGACTCTACCTCTACTTGCCAGTCCTTCTCAGTCTAACTCAAGATTGTTTCATAGCCAGACTACATGGTGGGAACACAGATCTACATGAATTTCAGTGGTTTAAAGTGTGTACTGCATCCTGGATCTGAGGATGTCAGCTCCATACTGAAAACCCAGCCTTCCTCTAAGATTCTGCACTCTTGACCATTGATTATACCTACAATGTCTGAATACACTTAAATAGAAGAATGATGGAGTTGTGATGTTGAAGAATTATACTATTGTAGCAAAATAGGTGAAGAGTGTAGAGTGTGGTGAATGGAAAGAGTGGAACGGGAAATTCTGGAACCTTGGAAGAAAAAAATGACAGCAATATCATGGTATCAGGTCAACTTGGTTTGGGTGATGCAACAAAAGTTTTGAATTATGAATTCCATTGCCAAAGCATTGTACACACTACATTGTTTAGGGCGTCTACTTGTCTCAGGTTCAGTGTTTAGGAGTTTATGATGCTGGGTCAATTTCATAGACCCTTATAATATAGCTGATTGAGGACCTTTTGGCAGAAAAGGTAAACTAATATAAAGATCTGTATTCCCTCAATCAGAAACAGTATCTGTCCATGTCTCCACAAAGGACAGTATATGTTATTAGGTGCTTAGTATTTATCTCCTGCTCCTAGATCAGAAATTCAGTAGCTGTAGAGAGTAAGATGGAGATGTAGGGTGAAGACAGGTTTAAACTGATGGAGAATCATTAGCCAGGGTGAAGCAGAGATGGTAGATTCCAGAAAACAGAAGAGGACATGCCCACAGCAAAGTTGCACCTGGAGATCTGTGGACATGGAGAAGCATCAGAGACAACAGAACAGTGTTTCAGTGAGCAGTCACTCTAGCACCTGTCAACAATTGGTGATTGACAATCAGAGCTCCACCTGCAGACAGGTGGGAAGGGGAGTTCACCAGGAGCTCAGAAGATGAACCCAGCACAGGGGATTAATATCCAGGATTACCAAAGAGCTTCAGAAACTCAGTTACAGCAAAAACAAAACAAAACAAAACAAAACAAAACAAAACAAAACAAAACAAAACAAAACAAAACAAAACAAACCCAACCCAAACCAAAGCAAACCAAAGCCAATCCTACAAAATCAACCCTGTGAAGAAATAGGAGAAGAAAATAGACATTTTTTTCAAAAGAGCAAATTCAAATTGCTAACAGACATAGGAAAAAAAATGTTCAAGCTCCCTAGCTGTCAGGGAAATACCAATGAAAAGCACACTGAGGTTCCACCTAACTCCAGTGAGATTGGCATACATTCAGAACTCTACCAACAGTGTCTTCCTCACTGTTGGTTGGAATGTAGCCTAGTAAAACCACTACGGAAGTTAGTATGGATAGTACTAAGACAACTGAAAATTGACCTGCCATATGACCCAGCTACCCCACTTCTGCGAATATAAATAAAGGAAATGAATTCTGCATATTAGAAAGGGATCTCTAATCCTATATTACAGCAACACAATCTACAACAGCAAAGACATGGAAACAACTCAGATGCCTGTCAAGAGAGGAGTGGATAAAGAAACTGAGAAACATCTACTCCATGCAATACTACTCAGCCATCAAAAAGAATGAAACTCTACCATCTGCAACCAAATGGTACCAACTAGAGACCACTGTGCTCAGTGAAATAAAGCAACTCCTTGCAAAATACAAGATCAATGGCCCTTTTGATTCTGTTTTTGCTACGTCATGAGTTTTAATGTTTTTATTTTCATTCCTCCAAAATTTCTTTCTTTTTATTTTTTTCTCTCACCCTCGGCCATACAGTAGCATCATTTTCTTCAAGAAGGTTTTTTATTTTCTTTGTAATTTCTTCAGCGACACATTGGTCATTAAGTAGCACGTTATTTAACTTTATGTTGTAAACTTTCTCTTTTTCTTGCTATTCTTGATTTTATTTTATGACTTTTAATGCATAGTAACTGAAACTATCCATATGTGAAGATCCAATGCAGTATGCATTTCTACTTGCAATCAAGATGAACTCCCAATGAAACTGTTAAACATATCTTAACAATAAGATGCTTGACTCTGTGCCATCGTCCATACATACAATGTCAGGATGCACTTAAAGAGTGAAATTACGAACTTATAATTGTGCATGAAGGACTATACTATTGTAATAATACAGGAGAAACCAATAGGAGGGTGGGATTTGGGGAGAAAGGAAAAGAAATTCCAGAGCCAAAGGAAATACATCATAAAATAATAAAATACTTGTTTTAAAATTCAGCAGTCAATAATCTTGTTGGCTACAGTCAAATCATTAAAAAAATACAACAACATGGCAGCCCTATAGAGGCTGGGAAAGGACATGTGATACGAATCTGGGACAAAAGTATCTTACTAATGCATCCATAATATTCATATTTCTTACTGATCAGGTCGATATGGTGTAAGATTCCCCAGCAAGATGTTCTACAGAATGCCCTATAGTCTACACCCCTGTGAACTCTACTGTGATAAGGAGGACAGGCAAAACCTTGGGTCAGGATGATGAACTTAAATTGCTCTCTGCTCATTTGAGCTCAATATATTTCTGGCTCTCTTTCTTTACAGGAAATTTAAAGGGCCCCCTGGTCAATTCAATTGACACATACCCCATAATAGAAATTATGCCAATCTATCCCAACAAGGATTCTGCATGCATGTCATGAACTACAGTTGGATCTCTCTCATTCTGCAGAGTTAGTGTTTGTCCACTGTCTTCTGCCATCATCAGGGTTTCCATGGGTGAATGTGTGGGAATGTGATGTGATTTACTTCCCCTACAATAGTTCAGGTTTGAAGGCAGCATTAACCTCTGACTTTGTTTACTAGATCGCCCGGTGAATGGTAAGCAATGGCCAGGGCTTTGCCTCAGTCTTACTCACACACCAGGTGTGTCTTCTTAGTCCAGTGAATGTGTGTGTTGGATCTTTTTGTTGTTATATTGATTTTCATGTGTGATAGTTATGCAATTTTCTTTATTTTCAGTATGAATAGCTTTATTTTCCTAGCCCAACAGACATGTGTTGGATCAAATGTAAATGGGTTAATGGACACTAGGTGTGTCTGGACACAGCAGAAAGACCAACTGAACCAAGACACCATTTGCTACTTACTATTGCTGACAAATTCATATGTCCACGTTCTGGATATCCAACTGTCAATATCAACTCAGATTTCATATTAGACAATATCCACTTTTATGAATTTGAAAGCACAAGTGAATGAAGAAGTGATGCCAGTTAAGTGCTTTGCAGAGAAGCACATATGATCAAAATTTTGCAAAAAATACAGATCAGACATTAATGACCTAAAAGCACATAGAACAGCCACCCAGGGTTACTAAGTTGTCTTTGACATATGCTTTGTAGAACAAGGAGATATAGAAAAGCTGGCTGTGTTCATCATGTCATGATAATAATGATTCATGAATGTGCTTGCGCTATTTGCAACTGGAAAGTTTTCAACACATTCTCACTCTGAACTCATATATGCAAATGTTCCTGATCTGGATAGCTCCTTTCACATACCTTAATTTGAACCTTATTATTTAACAAATGATCGTAGGCATATCAAGAAGGAATAATTATGAGGACTATGTGGTTTATCAATATATGTAAACATCATAAAATATTCAATCAGCAACTAGATCTATGGCTTCACAGGTATAACATTCTTTAAGGTGAAAACATCCAAAATGCTATCTGCTGGAGATTATGTGGGAAATCTACATTACATGACGTCTGGTCCTCTATGATGCAATGGAACCCAAACCTCTTCTCCAGAGCCATCACACAGCACCTGTTCATTCATCTTTGGAATCCCTTCTTGCTTGCCTCCCTCCCAGGCTCTATCAACACGCTGTTTCTCCTAGGAGAGCATCTAGATTGTCTTCGACTCTCTCTTTGTGTGTTGAACGTGCAGTTGCCTGTGATTCTTGTTCCTCGGCTTTAACAAGATGGACTAAGTGGTGTCCTCTGTGTCCATGACTCACTGCCCCACACAGTGGAGATGTCCAAGCATTCTGGCCCCTTGCTCCGCTCACACGTGGCCATCTTCCTGTGTCTGCTGAGACTCAGCTGTGGCCATGCCTGATTTGTTACTCAGAAAGCCACCTATCTGACTGCACAGATGTACCGGGTTCAGTGCCAAGGGAAATGAAATTAGATTGTCAAAGAGAAGCCTGCATTCCCATGTTCATTTTGACCCTGAACACATTAATGATTGAGAAATGGAAACACTTGAGATTCCACTCATTGAAGAATGGATGTGGAAACGAGATGCACATATGTAAAGAAGCACAGCTCCTTCATCATGAAGTAATTTGTCATTTACAACAACCTGAATAGGATGGAGGCCATCGTGTAAGACATTTCTCATATGGCCTTCTTTTTGTTTCTCTCCCTATATTTGTTCACATTTAATAACTTGACAATCAAAGTTGGTAAAAGTGCATGAATTATAAATCATGGCCCGGTCAGAGCTGAGACTCCATGGAAACAGTGAGATGACCCTGAGTGGTTAGAGCGAGATCAGGACACTAGGACTTCCCCTTTGGCTTGTGCAGTGAGTCAGGGAAACGCAGGCAAGACCTACTTCATGTTGTTCAACCAGAGAGACAAGAAGTCATGTGGTGAGGGCTATCACCCTGCAGAGCAGAGAGCTGAGGAAATAAACGTGATGGGGCAGCTGAGCACTCCAACCAATTTACCCAGCTGGTCTGGAGGACAAGCAACATAAACATTTTATTGCTGAAATTTCATCTAAGAGCATCTTAGTTTTTGGCATAAAAACATCGAGAATCTGGTCCCGTTGTATATGGGAAAGAATATGTCCCTTTCGCCTTCGTATCTTCAAGGCAGAAGTGCCCTGTTCTCCAAATCTTTCCATCCGCCTTACCCAGTGTGAATACATTATCATGCTCTACTGCAGTTGTGTCCAACTGGGTTGAGAAATATGGAAAACAGACCCAGAGAAATCACTATCAACCAAGAGTGGACATGATGTCTAATGCACTATGATAAAGAGAAAAACAAGAGGACCAGTGTCACATGAGAGATTTCCTTAAAATCACTAGAGTGAACTAGAGCGGTTGATCAGGAAGAACTTGCAGATGAATCTTAACACATCAGGAAAGGCAATGCTGCTTCCTACCTCATCTGAAAATGAATGCAGGAAAAGAAACCAACATAATGATATAATCACCTACTTATCAAGACAAACACTAACAAGGAAAGAGCATCACACCGGATGAGAGCATCTCTCAGCAGGGTATAAAAGAGGTCCCGAGTCAAGGAGACATCCACACCTTTCAAACCCACCTTCTGGAAACCCACACACCACCTCCATCCTCTGACACCATGGTCAACTCCTGTTGTGGTTCTGTGTGCTCTGAGCAGGAGACCTGCTGCCGACCCAGCTGCTGCCAGGCCTCCTGCTGCCGCCCCAGCTGCTGCCAGGCCTCCTGCTGCCGCCCCAGCTGCTGCCAGGCCTCCTGCTGCCGCCCCAGCTGCTGCCAGGCCTCCTGCTGCCGCCCCAGCTGCTGCATCTCCAGCTGCTGCAAGCCCCAGTGCTGCCAGCCTTCATGTTGCAGACCCACCTGCTGTCGTCCCAGCTGCTGCATCTCCAGCTGCTGCCCTAGCCCCTGCTGCAGACCGCAATGTTGCCAGTCTGTGTGCTGCCAGCCCACTTGTTGCCGCCCCAGCTGCTGCATCTCGAGCTGCTGCCGCCCTAGTTGCTGCAGGCCCCAATGTTGCCAGTCTGTGTGCTGCCAGCCCACTTGCTGCAGAACTCAATGCTGCCGCCCCAGCTGCTGCATCTCTAGCTGTTGCCAGCCCACTTGTTGCAGACCCAGCTGCTGCATCTCCAGCTGCTGCCAGCCCACTTGTTGCAGACCCAGCTGCTGCATCTCCAGCTGCTGCCGCCCCAGCTGCTGCATCTCTAGCTGTTGCCAGCCCCAGTGTTGCCAGCCCACTTGTTGCAGACCCACCTGCTGCACCTCCAGCTGCTGCAAGCCCCCATGCTGCCAGCCCACTTGCTGCAGACCCACCTGCTGCCCTAGCTCTACTTGCTGCCAGCCCACTTGCTGTCTCCAGACCACCTGCTGCAGAACCCAGTGCTGCCGCCCCAGCTGCACTGTGTCCACCTGCTGCTGCCCTAGCTGCTCCAGTGCTTCTTGTTGCTAAGCATTATGGCCTAGACTCAGCTGTTTTTCAACAGCCTATACTCTTGAGGTAGTCTGCCCATGAGCTCTTTCAGGAGAGGCTGATTCTCGACGCCCATTTCAACCGCATTTGTGATTGCCTTTCGCTCACTTATAGATCACCTCCAATCCATACCATGGAACTCTCTCTTTCCCAAGGAACCCACATTTGAACCCTCTCATATCTTTGGACCAGCATGTCACTGCAATGGAAATATTTGCTCTGTGTCATCTTTTCTCATATGGAGATATTCCTACATCTTGAATAAATTTGAATTGTCAACTCATACAAATGCGAGGGCTCTGTGTTTGTTTCATCTTGCATTTTCAAACTAGGTAGGAAATACTGTTTGTTCTCTTGATGGAAGACCATGGTAAAGGATATTAGGACTCTACCTCTACTTGCCAGTCCTTCTCAGTCTAACTGGAGATGGTTTCTTAATCCAGGCTGGTCCTCTTTCTGCTGCTGATTCTCCCTGGAGGACGAATTCCTGGGCAGGAGAGTAGGAACCTCTGTGTGCAGTGACCACGCCATGCATTCGGTGTTGAGAGGGTGTCCTCACTCGCTTTTCTGAGCCTGAGGGCATTTCTGGATATTTCCCTGGTCCTCAGCGATGAAACCCAGTTGCCCACAGTTGTCTTGTGCTCCCTCCCTCACACTGTCATGATTTCCTTTCCTTCCCTGGTCATTTCTCTGGCTCTGTGCACTGATGTGGTATTCACTCAAAAACACACCATCAACAATAAAATTCCTGGCTCTGTGTCTGGTGTAGGGGTCAAGTGTCCTAAGACATGAGTGCTCCATTTATCCCCGTTTTTCTACATAGTGCTTTGCAACATAAGGTCACAGCCTCCACCTGTTTTCATGTTTGCTCAGCTGAGTTCCTATCATGAAATTCTAAAAGATTCAGTAAGAGCACTGAAAGAAGTACATGGAAGAGCAGTACACACTTGCCTGGTGCAATAGCCCAGTTGCTAAATGCAAGCCTTGTATCCACTGACATCCCATATGGGTACCAATTTGGACCCCGTGTTCTCCACTTCCCATCCAGCTCTATGCCTGTGTCCTGGAAAGGTAGTGGATGATGATGGCTCAAACCTTGGGATCCTGTATCCATGTGGGAGGCCAGGAAGGGCCTCCTAGCTGCTGGCTTTGGAATGGCACACCTCTGGCCACCGTGGCCACTTGGGGAGTGGACCAGTTGACGGCAGATCTCTCTGTATCTCCTTCTCTCTGTATATCTGATTCCCAAAGGCAAACAAACATATGTATACATAAATAAAATTCTTTGTAAAAAGAAGTACACTCTTCTAGGTAAACCAGAAATACAGTTCAAGCAAAGCTTACATAATTTATGTGTGTGATCCTCAAATTAATGATTCATTCTACTTCCATGACTCTGAGTAATATTTTTCAAGAGTTATCCAGAATGATGACTGTCTTAGCTTTGACTTTCTTTTTCCAAATGCTCCAGTGTGTTCTCCTTAGAATTCATGCATTGTGGCTCTCATCCTGTTGGTAAATTCTCATCCGTGTAGGATGGTTGTTCATGTGACCAGTAGTGCTGGAAAAAGTTGGTTAAGTGAATACTAGAGGTAGATACATCCTAAAAGCCATTGTTTCAGTATGCAATGCACAAAGCTCAGTGTTTCAAATCCAACATCATTGTCTATATATTTTTTTTAACATCAATTGAATTTTAACTCCTCTAACTAGGCCTATGTTCAGGGTAAATTTCTACAAGTGTATGCAATGCCGACGAGTTGAAAAAGTACTTCTCAAGCTTTGCTACCCTTTGGGATTACCCAGAAGCTTTACAAGTTTCCCAAACCAGGCTCTGTCCCACACCAATTGAATCATGTTTCTGGGTCCCATCGGGTTGATTTCTACATGTTTGTCACCTCAGGACACCATACTGCTTCACTTAAATTCTTCCTCTTACCCACTATTTGAAAACATAAGCCAATGAAGAAAACTGTTCCATCAACTGATCGAAATTGTGCAAAGGGCTCTGCATAGACAGTAATGACCTTCAGGCGCTTGAAGACGCCATCGTGGAGTTAGCAACCATTCTCTGTCACCTGCTTGCTAGAGACAGGAGCCATTAAAGAACTGGCTGTGCTCATCACGTTATGACACAAGAGTGATTCATGAACGTGCTTGGGCTTTTTGCACCCTGCAAGCTTTCACCCCATTCTCACTCTGAACTCATATATGCAAATGTTCCTGATCTGGATAGCTCCTTTCTTTGTGCTTTTCTTTCAATTTTGTTATTTAAAAAATTTTTTAATGGGTACTTCAATTAGCAGGTACCTATGGGGACTATGTGAGGTGTGGATAGGTGTACATAGCAGAGAATACATCTATGTCTTCCTGTTTCACACTCCTTATGCTGAAAACATCCAGAATGCTATCGACTAGGGCTTTTGTGGGAAATCTACATTACATGACGTCTGGTCCTCTATGATGCAATGGAACCCAAACCTCTTCTCCAGAGCCATCACACAGCACCTGTTCATTCATCTTTGGAATCCCTTCTTGCTTGCCTCCCTCCCAGGCTCTATCAACACGCTGTTTCTCCTAGGAGAGCATCTAGATTGTCTTCAACTCTCTCTTTGTGTGTTGAACGTGCAGTTGCCTGTGATTCTTGTTCCTCGGCTTTAACAAGATGGACTAAGTGGTGTCCTCTGTGTCCATGACTCACTGCCCCACACAGTGGAGATGTCCAAGCATTCTGGCCCCTTGCTCCGCTCACACGTGGCCATCTTCCTGTGTCTGCTGAGACTCAGCTGTGGCCATGCCTGATTTGTTACTCAGAAAGCCACCTATCTGACTGCATAGATGTACCGGGTTCAGTGCCAAGGGAAATGAAATTAGATTGTCAAAGAGAAGCCTGCATTCCCATGTTCATTTTGACCCTGAACACATTAATGATTGAGAAATGGAAACACTTGAGATTCCACTCATTGAAGAATGGATGTGGAAATGAGATGCACATATGTAAAGAAGCACAGCTCCTTCATCATGAAGTAATTTGTCATTTACAACAACTTGAATAGGATGGAGGCCATCGTGTAAGACATTTCTCATATGGCCCACTTTTTGTTTCTCTCCCTATATTTGTTCACATTTAATAACTTGACAATCAAAGTTGGTAAAAGTGCATGAATTATAAATCATGGCCCGGTCAGAGCTGAGACTCCATGGAAACAGTGAGATGACCCTGAGTGGTTAGAGCGAGATCAGGACACTAGGACTTCCCCTTTGGCTTGTGCAGTGAGTCAGGGAAACGCAGGCAAGACCTACTTCATGTTGTTCAACCAGAGAGACAAGAAGTCATGTGGTGAGGGCCATCACCCTGCAGAGCAGAGAGCTGAGGAAATAAACGTGATGGGGCAGCTGAGCACTCCAACCAATTTACCCAGCTGGTCTGGAGGACAAGCAACATAAACATTTTATTGCTGAAATTTCATCTAAGAGCATCTTAGTTTTTGGCATAAAAACATCGAGAATCTGGTCCCGTTGTATATGGGAAAGATTATGTCCTTTTCGCCTTCGTATCTTCAAGGCAGAAGTGCCCTGTTCTCCAAATCTTTCCATCCGCCTTACCCAGTGTGAATACATTATCATGCTCTACTGCAGTTGTGTCCAACTGGGTTGAGAAATATGGAAAACAGACCCAGAGAAATCACTATCAACCAAGAGTGGACATGATGTCTAATGCACTATGATAAAGAGAAAAACAAGAGGACCAGTGTCACATGAGAGATTTCCTTAAAATCACTAGAGTGAACTAGAGCGGTTGATCAGGAAGAACTTGCAGATGAATCTTAACACATCAGGAAAGGCAATGCTGCTTCCTACCTCATCTGAAAATGAATGCAGGAAAAGAAACCAACATAATGATATAATCACCTGCTTATCAAGACAAACACTAACAAGGAAAGAGCATCACACCGGATGAGAGCATCTCTCAGCAGGGTATAAAAGAGGTCCCGAGTCAAGGAGACATCCACACCTTTCAAACCCACCTTCTGGAAACCCACACACCACCTCCATCCTCTGACACCATGGTCAACTCCTGTTGTGGTTCTGTGTGCTCTGAGCAGGAGACCTGCTGCCGCCCCAGCTGCTGCCAGGCCTCCTGCTGCCGCCCCAGCTGCTGCATCTCCAGCTGCTGCAAGCCCCAGTGCTGCCAGCCTTCATGTTGCAGACCCACCTGCTGTCGTCCCAGCTGCTGCATCTCCAGCTGCTGCCCTAGCCCCTGCTGCAGACCGCAATGTTGCCAGTCTGTGTGCTGCCAGCCCACTTGTTGCCGCCCCAGCTGCTGCATCTCGAGCTGCTGCCGCCCTAGTTGCTGCAGGCCCCAATGTTGCCAGTCTGTGTGCTGCCAGCCCACTTGCTGCAGAACTCAATGCTGCCGCCCCAGCTGCTGCATCTCTAGCTGTTGCCAGCCCAGTTGTTGCAGACCCAGCTGCTGCCAGCCCACTTGTTGCAGACCCAGCTGCTGCATCTCCAGCTGCTGCCGCCCCAGCTGCTGCATCTCTAGCTGTTGCCAGCCCCAGTGTTGCCAGCCCACTTGTTGCAGACCCACCTGCTGCACCTCCAGCTGCTGCAAGCCCCCATGCTGCCAGCCCACTTGCTGCAGACCCACCTGCTGCCCTAGCTCTACTTGCTGCCAGCCCACTTGCTGTCTCCAGACCACCTGCTGCAGAACCCAGTGCTGCCGCCCCAGCTGCACTGTGTCCACCTGCTGCTGCCCTAGCTGCTCCAGTGCTTCTTGTTGCTAAGCATTATGGCCTAGACTCAGCTGTTTTTCAACAGCCTATACTCTTGAGGTAGTCTGCCCATGAGCTCTTTCAGGAGAGGCTGATTCTCGACGCCCATTTCAACCGCATTTGTGATTGCCTTTCGCTCACTTATAGATCACCTCCAATCCATACCATGGAACTCTCTCTTTCCCAAGGAACCCACATTTGAAC